ACAAACTCCAAGTTTCAGAGGTAAAAAATGTTGAACGAGCGTGGAGCTTTGAAAGTTCTTCCCAGCCGCCTTCCTCTGATGCGTCTTAAATTGATTGTTTACGGTAGTATGACTTAGGTAAGGTAACGGATCGATTTTCTGAACGCTATCTAATTCCTGAACGGTTTCAATAAAAATACCACGAACAAAGTTTATCTTTTTATATATTAACTGCTTCAAAAAAAAAATCACCATTATCTATAGAAGCTGCTTTAAAATATTTTATTTTAGGTTCTATAGCTTCAAGTTTTATATTATTAGGTATTTCAATAATTTATGGTGTTTTCGGTACTTTAAATTTTGGTAATATTTTTTTAATTTTATCTAATGTTTTTTATTTTGAAAATATAAATTTAATAATTGGTTTTATAAACGGTTTTTTATTTATTTTAACAGGTATTTTTTTTTAATGGGCTCAGCATGAGCGCGCAACTCTCTAATACCCGCAACACAGTCTATTACACTACTGCTCGTACGATTACATTGCCGTAGCACTGCAAGTATTACTCCCTTTGAGTATATACCGACCGGTATAACGTTGCTCAAAATTTCCATGCTCGACTCAGGGAAACAATTTTTGATTGGCTGTATTAAGGTATTTTCGGCGAATCAAATCGTGAGGTCGATTTATTGCCACTTCACGTCATAGGGTCAAACCACCCCAAATAGTTGCATGTTTCACCGGAATTAACCATACATATTACAGCGTTTGGATCCACGCTGCCAACGGCGTCACATCGCGGGCGTACATGGCGGCCCCGGTGCGGATGTTTTCAAGGACCGACGCCAGCGGGCGGGCAAATGCGCCTTGAGGGCGGCCGACCAAGAACGCTTCGACCGCCGCGGCAGCTTGTTCCGTCTGGAAGTTGGCGATGGACACACATAGGATGCGACCCACGACGATCTGCGAGTACTGTGCGCTCAAAGCATCCCATTTGGCCTGAACATACTCCCATGCGACAGTGGACCCGTCGGCTGCGACACTGCCAAACACACTGTGGATGTCCTGGCTACGGACACCTCCCGCCACAGCCCACTCCAACGCGCGGGTCTTGAGCTGCACAGACGGAAACCGACCCAATGCGCCCAGCACGTGCAGCTTTTCCTCGATAAAATCGCTGGTTTCATAGACATTTAGAAGGTGTGCAAACGCAGCGTCGGGCTCGGACGTTTTGCGCACGTGGATGCTGTACACGATCGAGCGCAAGTCGGCCGAGAGCGAGGCCGGGGCGGCAACTGCGGCGTGGAAGCGCGCCGAGGCTTCCGCCACCACGGCGGGGTCGTTGGCCGCCGCCAGTATGGCAATCACGTCGCGGCGGAAGTTGCTGGTCAGGTCTTGGTCCGTCGGGCGCGCGTCCCACGTCAACTGGCTCATCACAGCCGCGTACAGCTGCTGAATGTACGCTTGAAACGACGGGAACCACGACTCGTGCTTGAACAGACGCAGGTACACGGCCAAGTTCTCCGACAGCTCCTTCCACACCAAGTACTCGGGTTCATTGGCATACGCTTGAGAGAACTGGAGCGCGTCCGTGGTGAGCACCAACCCGGCGCGCGCGAGCACGAAGATGCTGTGGAGAAGCGACACGCGGTCCACCGTGTCCAGCGCCAGTGCCGCCACCGGCGCCTTCAACGACGTCCACAGATCCGACGGGTAGTTGACTAAGTAGAACCCTGTCTGAGCTGCGTTTACTTTGACCCACGGCGCTACGCAACCATATATATATTAATATTACTCGGAATGAACGGGAAGTTGGAAGTAGAAGTATTAATAGTATTGTCGATTTGATACAAATTTGGGGAGGGGGTGCAATCGAATCGCGCCGACCAACCCGATCCACAACCGATCTGATTGGTTGAATTTCATTGAGAAGTTTTTGATTGGCTAATAATTTTGACCTCATCTGAAGTAGCCAATCAAATCGATTTAAATTCCAACGAGAAACCACGCCACAACACGAAATTTCACTCGAAAGCACAATATTAATATTGTTTTTCATTCGATTCAGGATTTGAAGTGTCGAATGGACAGACAATCTTTGATCTCGACCAATCAAAACCCACAACACGAATCAAGTGGCCAATCAAATGATCCACTTTTCGACCAAGTCAACCTCGAATTAGTGTGTGATTTAAACTAGTGTGATATTGGACGATTTTACATACAAACGTCAGTAATTTTGGGTAAAAGGACAATAGGATGGTTCCATTCGATTCAGGATTGGAGCAGCACACAATCTTTGATCGGCCAATCAAAACCCACAACACGAAACAAGTGGCCAATCAAATAATGGTCGCTTCAACCATTCAACATTGAATTCCGTATGTGACACTGTGTGGACATACCAAATTCACCACCCAATACAACCAATCGATCGAATCATCATCACACAAATGTTCAAAAGTTAGTTTGGCAGAAAGTATAATAGTAGAACTGTAGTAGTAGTACAGTCGTAACTACCCTATCGACGACGACTACTACGTACGTGGAGTACTCATCTTTGATGTAATAGTAGGTACTAACTACTCCAGCAACTAAATAGCGGATAAAACTGTTTTCGTACCAGCACCAACGTCCAACGCAATGGATGGCTGGGACGCCGTCCAGATGCCGGCGTTCTGAACGCCGTTCGTGGGGGTAGTGAACGTGATCGGGACGTCCCACTTACTCACGGCGTCCGTGGATCCGTTGGCCAAGAAGCGCTGTTGCTCGAGGGTGACAATGGACCCGTCTTTCGTCACCGTGACGACGGGAAACCCCATCTGCGTCGTCCACGTATGTGCCATCGCCGTGATTTCCAATCCTACCAAGTGTATTGTCAGGAGAAAATATATAAAGTCGAAATATCGGTATGGAAATAAAAACACGAAAAGTCATTTTTACAGTGGGTCTGACTGAATCCCAGTGTTTAATACATATTGTGCTTTTCAGCCAAATTTGCGTATTTGCATATTTTGGATGGAATCGCGAATTAATCGAGCAAAGGAGTATGATTGGCTATAAAGAAAAGAATGAAGGGGTTGCAATATGATTGGCTAAGCATATTGATAGATGCAGTCACAAGACCACGTTTCAAACAGAAAAGTCCCCGACACGCTTTTGTATTTTGGGCGAAAAAATATACAAAAACACGCGATATTTGGCAACATGTTTGGCCGGTTGGGTACAAATTGCCAAAAAAACACGGCAAAAAGTAAATAAAAAAACGCAAAACCAAGTTTAAAAAAGTACTTTCGTACCCGACGCCGCTTCCAGCGCGTGCCACAAGTCGACCGTTTTGGCATTGCCATAGGCAAAATTGGTCAAGTAATTGTGCATGCCAACGTAAAACTTGTCAATGCCAATGAAATTCGCCAACATGCGAATGACCGACGCGCCCTTGGCATACGAAATCACGTCAAAGATCTGGTCCACTTCATCCGGATGGTGCACCACCACTTCAATCGGATGCGACGACTCCATCGCATCCTTCTTCATGGCCGTGGCGAGGGTGATGTCCTGCACGAAGCTGCCCCAGACATTCCACTCGGGGAAGATGTCATGCACCGCTTCAAACTCCATAAAGCGCGCAAACCCTTCGTTTAGCCACAGCTCGGTCCACCACTCCATCGTCACCAAGTTGCCAAACCTATTCAAAGATGATATATACATTATTGTCGATTTGATATACTAATTTGGGGAGGGGGTGCAATCGAATAATCGCGCCGACCAAATCGATCCACAATCGATCTGATTGGTTGTTGAATTTCATTGAGAAGGTGGTTTTGATTGGTTAATAATGTTGAGCGAAGTAGCCAATCAAATCGATTTCAATTCCAACGAGAAACCACGCCACAATGAAATTTCACTCGAAAGCACAATATCACCAGATTTATATTGTCAAGTCGATTCGAGTGCTCAATCGAATGCGCGAATCGACACCAATATCTTTGACCAATCAAAACCCACAACACGAATATCAAGTAGCCAATCGAATCCACTTTTGGGCCTATTAGTGTGTGACTCAAAGTAGTGTGATATACTGGACGATCTTTACATACAAAAGTCAGGACAACGAAAAATCGATCGATAGATTTGGCAAAGAATTAGCACAAAAGTTAACCAAATGTTGGGTCAAACGACAATATATTGTCATGAAAATCGAGAAAGTACCACTGATGCGCCAGTTCGTGGCACACGGTGCGCGCTGTCGCAGTTTTTTGCGCCAAACTGCTGGCTTGGTCGTCAATCAGCAACCGCATCTCACGGTATGTGACAACGCCCCAGTTCTCCATGGCCCCTACACATATTTTTAATACATTGGATGGGCGACAAAAAACATATTTTTTAGGTTTCTATCAGGGCAAAACACTTTTAAAGCCAAAACATTTTTCTGCCACTGTTTTACCAGACAATACATCGACCAATCATAACGCAGAACACGAATCAAGTAGCCAATCATAAACTCTCTCTTCAACATCCAATTCATGTGTGCCTGAAATTAGACTAATTCATGGGCCACCGTTTCTACATACAAAATCCAGTACAATAAATCGATCCAAATATTTGGCGAATCCGCACAAAAGGCCAAATTTTTCGGCAAATAAAAATATGATTTTAGATACCTGCGTTAAAGTCTGGAATCGCGAGCATGTCGAGCTTGGCCAACGGGTACGGGATGCCAAACTTGTGGGTGAAGAAGCTCAGGCATTGCGT